GGTTATTGGGGCTAAACCAGACACCCAAAAGTGTATGTTCTGCCAAAAACAGACCCTATACATTTTTACTTTAATGCCGCATTAGGGCCGGTGCTTGAGTCAAATCGCACCGGTTGGATATCAGTTTGAGACTCTTCCGGGGTCATTCAGAATTCATTGACAGGTTTATTGGACCCGGCAGATGACATTTTGATGACCCGTGCTTGATCTGCATATATTGGAGTTCAAGCCCATCCAACAAAAGCCTGTCAACACTGGTCCTTTTTAAGAGACTTCCCTTCACTTACTGTCCTGATGACAATGGTTGCACCAAACAGGAAGTGGGTGAAAATGTTCAACAGCAACACAGACTTCCAACAAACTGAATAACTCCCAACTGCCCCTTTTACTTGGAGGGACTTTTCCTCCTTTAGAACCAAATTCCCCTCTCCCTTGGTACATGAGGCCAAAAAGAGGGTCAACTGATGAGGTATGGCATCTATAAAAGAAAATGTATTTCATTACCAAAACTGCATTTGCAAGAGTTGGGTAGTCGTCATGTCTTCACCCGAGGTCTTCCCTCCACTACAGCTCACAACCCGTCTTAAGAGGTGCCAGGAAATGTACGAGAGCCCAATGGTCAGTAAAAAAATGCTGATTGGCCGAGAGCTGGCTTCCCGGTCACAGGAAGCCGGGAGGTGGGTCATTACCTGCAGCCCGACTTCCTGATTGGCTGGGAAGCTGGCTCAATGCTGTTTGGCCACATTGATGCTAATTGGCTGGGAAGCCAGCTTTCCGGCCAATCAGCATCTAGCCAGCCAAACAGCATGGAGTCGGTTCCCTTGCCAATCAGTGAGTCTTTACCCGCCACCCGGCTTCCTAATTGGCCGGAAAGCCGGCTCCATATTCCCTTGCGGCACTGCTGGTCAGAGGAATTATCCCTTTGACCAGAAGTTCCGGTATTGGGGAAGGTATCGGAGCATTTGGGCGAGTAGGAGTACTCTCCCAAATACTCGATAACGGCACCTATACTAGTATCGGCATTGGTGCATCCCTACTATGTACTAAAAGGTGTCCTCCTTTCTTATCTCAGAATGTTGGGAGGTGTGCAAACTGTGGAGTTATCTATTTCATGCCTATGCCATGCTCTCTTATGCCATATTCATATGAACAATACATGGTTATATATATGGTTATATTGTTGTATATATGGGATGGGAACCTTTTTTCTTTTTTATTTTTTTTAAACTGCTTGTATTTTCTTATTTTTAGATGACACCGGTTGTCCCAGTAGTCAATCAGTGTCCCCGGTAAAGACTCCGTCCGATGCTGGCATGAGCCCCATGGGATTCTGTACAGGAAGTGAGGATGATTACAGCCACAAGCGAGTCAGCACTGGCATGTATACTGATGGCAGCGTTCAGCCCACGAGATACAAGAAGGAGCCAAAGAGCGGCCTAATGAAGACTGGTAGGATTTTGTTTTATCTGTACTCCATCTGTGACCTCCATTATGTTGTCAGTCCTCCATCAGGGGTTCATATTTCTTCCCATCATTCTGTTTTTCACAGTACAGGATCATTTACATACATTTGAATTGCTCTTTTAAGAAGGTGGACCTGACCTCAAACTGAAGATTTGCTATGTTTTAGGGAACATTAGGAATGCTAACTGTGCCTCAGCAGTACATTTTTAAAAAATCAACCTTTTGCCTGGATTTAAACAGCAGTGTACTTCCTATAGCCTCACAGTTGTACATCTGCAGTGTGAGATCTAAGGCACTGCGTCTCTGTATGCTAGTCTTACCAGATTTGGAGTGAGATTTGGTGATATCGCTACTGTGCTGCTCACTTTTCTCCTTGCTGTCAGCTCGGACATGGGGAAGCAAAGCCCTGCCTTTAACAAGATGGCCCCCTCAATGCAGAGACAGTGCAGAACAAGGCATGATAAGTCTGTAATGGGGAAAAGATCAGGAAGACCACAAGCAATACTGGTAACTAGTCCTTTGTCCCTCTGTCGGCCTTTTTTGGGAACAGGTTCCAGAGTTAAGATCTTCTTTAAGCTCTTAAACATATGACAGATCTTTTTGGGCAGATACAGTAGGCTTACTAAGAGCTTTCATATGGGTAGGTACCGGAATGCTCAAAAGGTACTCTATGTATTGGCATCCTCTGATCTGACCCTGCTTGTAATCTGTGATGGTCTAACACATTCTGGACATAGACATTTTCTCAGAGTGCTCTGTTACTTACTGATGGCTTTTCAGCCTGTATACTTTTTTTTTTCTTTTTTTTTGTTCCATGTGCATATTTTTCCTTTTCTTGTCTTTTTGTCTCTGACTTCCCTGATTTCTGCTTTATACAAGTATTTGGTGGTTTGAATTTGACTTCATATAGATCCACCCATAGATTAGTATGGGAAGTAGAAAAACCACAGCTAGCTGTATTCTGGAGCTGCTTTCTCTTGCCGGACTGATTCCAACCACTGGAAAATCCTCCGAACAGCCAAGCCTGGAAAATTCAAATCTCGGCGCCTACATAAAACATTGGAAACATTTGATATAACAGAAGTATGATTCATGCTGTTAATCTTATAGGAGAGAGGGGGACATCACAAAGACATCAATGATCAAAATGTGTTGTTTTTTTTGTAATGAGGTAAAAATAAATTCAGTTGAATCAAAAAATCATTTCAAGGTTTAAAAATGCATATTTGTGATGATGATGATAATATTATTATTTTTTTTTTATTTTTTTTTTATATGATTGAGTGCATGTGTGGACCCATGGCTAGCAATAAAACCTAATCCTGTCCAGGAAATATGTGATATGTGCAGGAAATGCAGCCATTCATCTCTTTAATTGAGTATTGTTCAGCTTCCCTTTTTAACTCCTATTTAATAATATTTTAAGGTAATGTTTCAGTGGGCTAAACGAGGCTGTGCAGGAACTACAGCCCACAGTCACAGGCTCACACTTGGCCCAATTAGAAGTGGTGTTGTTAATTATTATTATTCCGGTTTTTTTATAGTGCCAACAGTTTGCGCGGTGTGTTACAAAATCTGGGGAGACAGTATAGTTACCATATAATGCCATACAAGAGGATTAGAAGGGTCCTGATCCTGAGAGTTTATAATCCTGAGAGTTTATTGGGCAAGTGATACAGAAGGTAAAAACTGGGATGAAGTGAGTGAAGGAATCAATCAATGTACAGTTTTTAGGTGGAGCCAGAACAGACTTCCCTACTGAAGTGAGTTTTCAGGGATTGCCTAAAGGCAGACGGAGTAGGAGATAGTCGGACAGATTGATGTAGAGAGTTCCAGAGAATGGGAGAGGGTCTGGAGAAGTCCTAGATGATAGCATGGGAGGAGGTGATGAGTGAGCTAGACAGCAGGAGGTCTTGGAAGGAGTGGAGAAGGGTGGTATGGGTGATATTTTGACATGAGGTTGGAGATGTAAATGGAGGCAATTTTGTGGATGGTTTTGTATTGTTAGTATTTTGAATTTTTGGGCTATCAGAAGCCAGTGGAGGGATTGTTAAAGAGGGGTGGCTGCAACTGAACGGTTGGCAAGGTGGATGAGTTTAGCAGCCGCATTCATGATGGACTGAAGGGGTAGAGCCTGTTTAAAGATGGGCCAACGAGAAGGGAGTTGCAACAGTCGCGAAGAGAGATGACACAAGAGTGAATTAGGGCTAGTTCACACCAGATGCAGTTGTGATGCAGTCCGTTCAGTTTCGCAGCTGCATCCAAAATGCACAATCTCAATGCTTTCCTATGGGATTTCTGGTGCTCTGTACACACCAGTGCAGTCTGTTCGATGCAGTCAGAAAAAATACTGCTTGTCCTATTTTCGCTGCATCGGATCGCTGTGGAACCCATCAAAAACGCATGCGAACGCACCTGAAATCCCATTTTAAGCCAAAAAAAAACCTAAACCAATCACGGTGCAATCGCACGCAGTTCTGGAGAGAACTAGCCCTGAGTAGCTTTGTAGTGGCATTTAAGAAGTGGATTCTAGAAATGTTAGAGGTTAGGACAGCAAGATTTGGTCAGTGATTTACATGAAGGCCTGAAGGAGAGCTCCAAGTATAAGATTACACCTAGCACCCTGGCATGTGCGGAGGGACGACTTATACTATTGGTTTAATTTTCATCATTGGTTCAGGTTAAATTGCCCAGACTTGTGGCAGATTAACTTCCAACTCAAGGGTAATGTTCTTCAAAGACCAGGGAGGAGTTTTGTAGACTGCAGTCATATGAATTTGTAATGACTGGTCTGGTTTATAGAACATTTTGATCTAAGCCCCACAGAGGAGGTGGAAGTTTACATTTAGACTGATCTTCCCTGTACTCTACAGATCTAAATCCTCAGGTCTCATTGCTTGTGGACACACTATGAAGATGATTGATTGTTGTTATTATTGTAGTGGGTGGTAGAGTACCTTTTGGGTTCTCCTACAAAAGAAGCTGTTTTGGGTGTGGCCACCAGGGAGACAGATTATATGTATTCCTATTTAGTTCTAAGCAAAATATAAAATACGTGCCAATTTTTCAAACTGGAAATATGGAACAAAATGAGTCACGTCTTCATGACCAGTCCAGTCTTTGCCCGCCTAATACATGGTGATTGGGTTCCATGCAATGGGTTGCTGTAATAATAATTTTGTACTTTGTACATTTTGATGCTTCTGTTCAGCCGAGTTCCCGTCTGTTTCTATAGCAACTGCAGTTCAGCTTTGCTAAACTGAATGCTAACAGGATTGAATTTAAATGTGGAACATTGTTACACCTGTGCATATCCCGACTCTTCCAGTGAGCAATGATAAACCAGCGTGTCATGTCTGTCAGGATAAATTGTTTTACTACTTCTTAAAGGGTTCATGCACCCTACCATTGTTAGTACAGTATTTATTTATTTTTTTATAGATATGAATGTAGATGTATTGTTTTCCTATAGCCCATGTACACAGTGCATTAAGATCAGTAAACCTGCACTGCCCTTACATGTGTAAAATCAGTAGAGAAAATTCTGCACCTGTGGTCCTGCGTATAGACCGTATTTTATGCTGAATGCATGTAAACTTTTGCGCTGATGTTTACATGCATACAGCTCAAATGCACTGAGCATGAGCCGCCTGTATCCCAGCAATGGATGCTAGGTGATGGGAGTTTCATAGTCCTTTGTTGCTAGGATGCAGGCAATAGGAGGTGCCTAGTGTCCTTTGTTGCTAGGATGCAGGCAATAGGAGATGCCTAGTATGCTTCGTTGGTAGGATGCAGGCGGCTCGAGTCAATAGGGCACGTAAACGTTGCACGAAGGTTACATACGCACAAAGCAAGTTTTATGCAGGATCTTGCCAGCAGCTTCTGCCAACAAGATCCTGCAGAGTACTTGCTTTATCTTCACACGGCTCTGTGCATGAGCCCTAACATTGCATATTTGTAGCCATGATTTAGTTTACTTTAAAGCTAAACTCCCTTTTTTCATGTAATGTAGCGTGGTGGATGAAATCAAAAGAAACACTTAAAGTACACCTGTCATAAGTGAAATATGGGCACTGCCATTACGTGCTGTCTTCTGAAATGTTGGTTGCCTGGTTGTGTCCTCCTTTTAATTCTGTTTCTAAAACAAACCCAAAACAAGTATATTGCACATAAATGTCAAAATTCATTAACTATCGGCATCAGGGACTCAGTGTTAAAGCCAAAATCTTAGCCAGCAACTAACCATTTCCAAAGAGGTCCATAATGGCACCCTACGCAGTTCTCTCATGACAGGTTTTCTTTAAAGTCAAATTCCAGGCAGATCTGAAACAAAACCTGTATTTTTGTATACAATTAGCATAAGTACCCAAATCTATTTCAATATTGGCTTCCTGTGATGTTTTATTTAGAGGGGGCAGGGGCTAAACTCTGCACCAAACCAGGTTCTACTGCTTTCCTTCAGTCTTTTACAGTGGTCCTTCTTTCCTTCCTAACGTGGGGACTAGTGATGTGTGAGGCCTTGTGTGTAGCCTGTGCAAAAATGGCACTCGCACCTCACCACACCAGCTCAATCAGTTGCAGCCAGGGCATTTCCCACACCTTTTGTCAGGGAATGTACTGGCCACAACTGATTGGGCCGTTGGGAGGACCAGTGACCATTTTGCTCGAGCTTGGCGAATTGGGTTCACACCAAGCTCTCACACATCTGGTGATCAGCCTCTGCAGTTAGCCGCATAAACTCTTTAGGACTTGTCACTCGCATGCAGTGTAGTGCAGCTCCACAAACCCTTGCATCCTTATGTTGTATATCAGTTCATCAGCTAGTAGATTGCATCCTTGGTAGATTGCCAGATTTTGTCAAGGCTGTTACCGGGATTGCTGGACGTATTGGAACTGCAAAGGCTTCTGGGAAATGTAGTTCGCTGGCAGAAAGCGGAGACCTAGTACCACCAGAATTGCCCTCCCCTAGGCTGACATGATTTAAA